GGTTGTTGTTGTTGTTTGCAGGCGAGGCAGCCCCCTGCTCATCGGCGTGCGCAGCGAGCACAAGCTCTCCACGGACCACATCCCCATCCTGTACAGGACAGGTGAGTGGAGGCCCCTCCTGCCCAGCAGCTTCCAGACACGCTCGGGCCACCACAACAGCACAGTGTTTGCCCAGAACCCCAGCTGCAAGCCGAGCTGGACATTAAACTCCAGCACAAAGGACAATTTTGAAATTAAGATATTTTAACCATTCATTATACCATATACTACAACTTGCTCTGCTGACATCGTGAAGGATACACAACTTGCTGCTTTTGCTCTCTGCTATCTCTCTAGACCAGCAGAACTGGCCTCTAGGTTTAATCAATACTTCAGTGCTGTACAAGGAAAACGTGTCTTTGGTGCTGCAGCTAAACTTAGAGTTTGTATTTGTGGCATGTTGGCATTCAGGGACATTGTTTTCAAGAAAAAGATGTGTCAGTGCTTTGCAGGCTATAGGCTTTTCACCATGGCAAACCTTTTTTTCTCCTGTAACAGAATATTTAAAACCAAGCCAAGGTAGCATGTGCTATCCCTTGTTGGCAACCTGTAGCTGCTAGTTTGCTGCAGTGGCCAGGAAGAGCAGTCCCAGTAACATCTGTTTATTCTTGGTTCGTGCTGGATGGTTAATAGTAATCCCTAATGTATGTATGTAACCCTTGTTTTGTTTTTACTGCTTATCTGAAGTTGTTTTTCTTTCTAATTGCACTTTCAGCTGGGCAATCTATGGATCATTCTTTTGATGGAATATCCATAAAAATGGAGGAAGGTGCCTACCTGAGAAAGTAGAATACTGGAAATTTAAGACAAATCCTCCAGTTCCTTAGGAAAGGAATAATAAATGAGGGAAATTTGCATTGTCTCTTTAGTATGTGGCTATTGCTTTCCAGATAGCGTAGTGAAACAAATGGGATAATCGGAATTTCATCTTTATCAGAAACATCTTCAGCAACACCCAGGCAAATTCTCCCTCCCAAGTATTCTGACACAATGTTGAGCACACACGAAACCAGTGACTTACCTTAAATAAAGGCAAATAGAGTGAAACCCACCGGAATTAGAAATAAGGTGACTTAAGAGCCTAGTACTAATTCTAAGGCAAACATTCCCTGGAATCCCTTCAGAAAACTGGGTTGTCAAAGAGCTACATCCTGAGTGCTGTGTGGATCTCAATCACAGGCCCTGGTAGAAGCTGTAAGGTTTAACCAGGCTTCACTTTGCTTTTTCAGCCTATCTGTATTTAATCGACTTGAAATACATGAGGCAGTTACCAGGATGAAGCATTATTCATCTCATAGCAAGTACTTAATTTATTTTGAGGCTAAGCTGTCGTTTTTAAACCGATGGACTAAATTCACATTTGAAGAAGGAGAGAGCTTCCTTGCAAGACAAAAGACTCTAGTGCTTGGCTGCTGTGAAGAAAAGTATTTCCACCCACACCGGGCAGTGACCTTGGGCAGTGCCGCTCGGTGGATGAAATCTCTGTGTTTTTGCCCAACGAGAAACAAACCTGAGCCTTAAGAAAGTGAACCCCACTCTCTCTCTTTAGCTGATTTGCCTGAATTTGAAGGTAGGAGAGTGGGCGTTTTTTTCTTTTTTTTCCCTGGAATATATTTTCACTAAGTCACTGTGAAGTGCTAAGAGTCAAACTTTGAAGTTACACGATCAGGGTAATTCCAAAGTCCTTTCAAGTGCTAAGAGTCAAACTTTGAAGTTAACACGATCAGGGTAATTCCAAAGTACTTCCAGTGGCACTAAAACTTTTCTGAAAGGTTGGCTCTAGGAAGCATTGGCGTTAAGGTATCCTCGACTATAATCCTCCTGGCATTACTTTTGCAGAATTGCCATAATGGAGAGTGAGATGGTATCAAAATACACTCAAAGCAGCCCCTTTACCCACCAGTGTGAACTCGCAGTGACATCTCCGTGCCTTGAAGATTACTTCTGTGTTGCTTTGAAATGGTAGTGAATAGGAAGCAGGAGCTCTGCAGCCCAGGTCACCCATGGGTGAGGAGGCACCATAGGTGTCTGATCATGCTCCCGTGCCTGATGGTGCTCGTGGTTCAAGCACTGCCACACAGCGCAGATGCAGGTGCCCTTGCAGAGTCCTGTGGTACAGGAAAGCAATGCGACATAATAAAGTCAATGCAGGGAAATGCTGTATTTTGTGAAACAAAATTTGCATGCTTTAATCAAATACGGGTGCTTCTGTCGGAGAATGGCTGCTAACACTCTTCTTGCTCTGTCCTTTCTGGTTGTCTTCTTCGTTTACTGACTTGATAACTAAAGTGGAGAGGCCTAAATTTGTAGCTAAGTGGAACTTTCTTGTTAAGTACCAACATGAAAGCAGTATTTTTTTTTCTTTAAATTTTCACTTAGAGCAGTGAATGATGAGCTTCACCCATGAGAAACATTTTTTGGTTAAATAGGAGGAGTTAGTTAAATGTAGGGGAAGCACTGGAGTGCTCCTGAAAGGATCCCTGGTGAAACACTGACCTCCTTTTGAAGGCTCAGCTGAATTTTTTTTTGAAGTTGACTCAATTTCTTAGCCCTGTGTCCTCCAGTGCACCTAAATACTTCCCTTACAGCTGTTCAAGGCTGCCTGCAGCTTTGGATCACGCAGAGAGGTTTGTGTTTGATATCTGGGGCACAGCACCAAGTGCTGGGTCGTGTGTTCATGGCCTGGTGTCAGCTCAGCCAGGTTCTGCTCACATCTGTCAGGGCTCAGCCTTGCACATGGTGCCACCAGGACAGCGTTTCATCCAGCCATGAGAACAGCAGCTGAGGAGCTTTCAGAGCCCCAGGAAAGTGTATTCAAACACAGGAGAACTTCATAATTGTAAATGGGACAGATCCAACTAGGAAAACGTTAGTAAATGTGGATGCTCATAAAGGAGCTTGATTTCCACCCTCCCTGCACCGGCCATGCATATTTTTTATTTATTTATTTTTATTGGTGTTTTCTCTAAATTGAACTCTGCACTCATCAGTAAACTTAGACCCATAATTCAAAAACACATTGCAAAATGCAAACAAAGTGAGAAAGAGCGAATAATAGGGGAGCTGCTGCATTGCCCTCTTGCCGTTTTCAGCGGTAATTCACCGTGATGAGTCTCAGTGATTCAAGTAGTGCTTCATGTTGATACTCTCCCTGGGGACCTTGGGTTGGGCCTGGCGTTGGAGCAGCACAGCCCGGGCTTGTTCGTGTGCCCAGTGCTAATCCCGGCTCTTCCAGGGAAAGACAAGAAGGGAAGTTGCAACCTGTCCCGTGTTGACAGCACCACCTGCCTCTTCCCCGTCGAGGAGAAGGCCGTGGAGTACTACTTCACTTCCGACGCCAGGTAACGTTCTTCAGCACCTTTAAGTGTCCGTAAAAAGTGTTTTTATTTGGAGCTGTGTAAATTTGAGACCTTGAACAGGAACCTCAGATGCAATGGTTTCTTTGGGGAACAACAGTAAACTGTTTGTATGTGGCCGTTTGCATTATTTTGTATCAATAGGGCTGCAGCCCTCGCCTTCCTGTGAAGAACGGTGTTTCATGGCAGATGTTTGTGTCCTTGCAGTGCTGTCATTGAGCACACCAACAGGGTGATCTTCCTCGAAGACGATGACGTAGCCGCCGTGGTGGACGGACGTCTCTCCATCCACCGGATCAAGCGCACGGCGGGCGATCACCCCGGCCGGGCCGTGCAGACCCTGCAGATGGAGCTGCAGCAGATCATGAAGGGTAAAGTCTTCTGGGTGTCACCTCTGTAATGTCCGTGTCCCCCAGTTTAGCTTGGGAAGGAACCTTGGGGTCACCCAATCCAATCTTTCTGCTTAAACAGGTCTAGGGAGGTTACATTGCTTAGGGCCTGTTTTAGTCAAGTCTTTAATGTTTCAAGGATGGAAACCCTCCAGTCTCTCTCTGGACCTCTCTTTGGAGGTGTCTGTTCTTTGAAGGTCGATCCCCTAGCAGGGCTGCCTTTCTAGATGACTACAAGTTAGGGACATGGTTTAGCAGGTATGGCATGGAAGGGTTTATGGTTGGACTCAATGATCTTGAAGGGCTTTTCCAACCATAATGATCTGTGATTCTAAGTTGGCACACTCGTAGCTGACACTTCGGTCTCTTGAATATTCTCATGATTAGCTCATGCTTTGCTAGAAAATGAACTGTGCAGTTAATCTTTCTAACAGCTATTTAAGTACAGGAACAAAAATTGATCTCTGATAGGCAACTGGCCTCTTAATGATCCAAACCTTTCCCTAGGTACAGAGTGTACCATGAAGTTATTTAAAGTATTTTCATTTGGTTTCTTTTGTCATCTCTTTTTATAGGTAACTTCAGTTCATTTATGCAGAAGGAAATCTTTGAGCAGCCGGAATCTGTCGTCAATACAATGAGAGGAAGGGTCAATTTTGACGACTACACTGGTAAATAAAATTAATGCTTGATTTTGGACAGCTCAGGTAGCTAGTGGTTATTCACAGAGGAGGAAGGAGATGATGACATGGGAAATGGAAACACTGTGTGGTCTGACAGCGAGTCCTTCCATAATGACGTGCTCCTGTGTTAAACTGAGTGTTTGGGATGACTCTTCTGCTAACAGACTGATCCAGATCTTCATTAGGGCTAAGAGCAGTGCTTTAATTTGAGACTTTCTGCTAGTTTTTCACCCAGATTTTCTCCCTGAATCTGCTTACAGTCAATCTCGGTGGGTTGAAGGATCACATTAAGGAGATTCAGAGGTGTCGCCGCTTAATCCTTATTGCCTGTGGGACAAGCTACCATGCCGGAGTCGCGGTAGGTGCTCAGTCTGGATCTCGTTGGGAATTGTATCTGGAATTGTGTCTAGAATGGAATAGTGGGCGTAATACTGTGTGTGTGTTGAGCAGGCTAAGATGTTCATCCTGAACAAGTATGTCCTGGGGAATGAAGACCTTCTTCCAACCTGCATACCCCAGATTTTCAAACTACCATTGACATCATTAGGAACTGGAATCTGGAAAAAGAGAGTATTTATGAAAATACTCTGGTGGTGGCCTCACAGGTGCCTAAAAAAAAGTGTGCTGCTAAAAGCAGAGTGGCTTTTCCTAAACCTAGCTGTGTGTGACTCGAGTATGAGTAGAGTAATTAAAGTAGAATCCAGTGCTAACTTACACATGGTATTTTGATAGTAATATTTTCCAGTGTGTGTGGCAGCTAGAAGGCTTTTTTTGTGCCCTACTTAGTTTTTAAACACGATGTAATATGGAACTTTCTGACACGTCCCTTCACCAGACTCGTCAGGTCCTGGAAGAACTGACAGAATTGCCTGTTATGGTGGAACTAGCCAGTGACTTCCTGGACAGAAACACTCCTGTCTTCAGAGATGATGTTTGCTTCTTCATCAGCCAGTCAGGTATAGTCTCACTTTACCAGCCACTTTTTATGGATATTCCGTGAGTTTTTGCTTGGGAGGGAAGAGCAGGGCTTGTGTGTCCCCGTAGGGCTGCCTGGGGGACACGTGGGTGAAGAAATGGGCACCCAGGTATTGGAGATGGCAGAAAATATTCTGGATCTCCTCACATCTGTTTGCAAGCTCTCTTAGCTGAGTCTTACGTAGGGCAATAGTTGTTCTTGTGGGAAAATAGTCCATCAATCTGTAAGTAAACTAAAAAGAAAATCCATTGATCTTTATATAGGTAGAGGGCAACTCAGTAGTTGCTTTTGAATAGATTTAGTTCTTTTAGGTGAAGTGATGCAAAATACTAAGTTGCTTTTGAGTAGGTTTAGTTCTTTTAGAGCTTAGTATTTGCACCGTTTCAACTATCCTGGACTGGATCCATAGAAGAAATGAAACTATGAAACAGAAGAATGTGGAAAAAGTACAACCTTGAAGTGGAATGTGAGATAATGTATGTAAAACATACACTTAAGCTAAAATAAAATAAATTGATGTATCCTGTTGAAAATAGCTTCAAGGACTATTGCAATATTCTTTGCCTTTTAGCAGCATCTAGCATTGTAGGTCTTCACAGCTCGTCTTCAGCTGTGATATTAAAAGCAGTAGCTATTTTAGGTGGATTTTAGTAAAGGATGATTGAGATATACTATGACTTTTTATCTAAACTTTAGCATCCTACTAAGCTTTCCTGATACCAACTACTCATATTAGGCTGTGCATTTTGCAGACCTGGGTCTTATCTTTTTAGTGTAAAACACTGTGCAGAGCTTTGACTTAGCAGCTGTGGTAGCGACCACCCCATTCAACTCCCAGGCACTAAGATTGTGTTTAGAAAAGCACTGCACTTTTATTA